TGCTAGCCACATACAACAGAGCTGGTGGGTTCGAATCCAGCCCAGGCCTGCCAAACAACAGTGACAACTACCAAAAAACAGCCAGGTGTTGTGGCAGGCGCCTGTGGTCCCAGCTACTTAGGAGACTGAGGCAAGAGAATTGCTTAAGCCCAGGAGTTGGAGGTTGCTGTGAGCTGTGACGCCACAGCTCTCTACCAATGGCAACAGCTTGAGGCTCTGTCTCAAAATAAAAATAGCTGGGCATATGACAGGCACCTGTAGTCCTAGCTGCTTGGGAGGCTGAGGCAACAGAATTGCTTGAGCCCAGGCGTTTGAGGTTGCTGTGAGTTGTAACACAACAGCACTCTACTGAGGGCAACAAAGTGAGACTCTGTCTCAAAAAAAAAAAAAAAAGAGCTATTTTTCAAAGGTGTGAGGAGACGAAAGGAAATCTCAAAGGATGTGAGCTCCAGTAACAGGAGGACTCTGATACTATCCCTAGGACTGAAGGGACAAGGCAGTGAGTGAGTCCCAGAACTTGGAAACAGAGAGGATTGTGAAGGCAGCCCCTGTATGGAAATAGACCCTTCTGCTGAAGGAAAGGAATGCAGCCAGCCTGTGAGAATCTTGCCTAAAAGGGAGCAATGAATACCCAGACCTCACTCTCTTTGCTCTCACTCCCTTCTGTAGGTACCTGATCAGGAGGTTCCATGGGAAGCCAGATGGCAAAGGTGTAGTCAACAGAAGGCACCTTCTTGGGCATAGAACCGGTGGGAGGAAGGTGAACATGGTCCAGAGGGCCACACATGAGACACCCAGCACAGCCTCATGAGCTCAGCCTACCCCTTTCCTCCCATTCACTCCTTCACACTACACTGGACTTGTCACCTCTAAGATCCCAATGCTTCTCCCTCTGTCTGGAACATTCTTTGTCACAGAGTTTTTGGACTAATTTTTTCATCTCCCTTGGTGTTTGTTCATGTCTCATCATCGTCTCAAAGAGGACTATGATCCTCTGTTTAGCAGGATCACCTGCTAAACCTGTTTAGCATTGCCACCCACCACCCAGCACTCCTGACCTCTTACTTTTCCTTTTTTCTGTAGGACTTACCATTTCCTACGTGCTCTATTCTTTTTTTTTGTTTTTTTTTAGAGACAGAGTCTCACCCCATTGCCCTTAGTAGAGTGCCATGGCATCGCACAGCTCACAGCAACCTCCAACTCCTGGGCCCAGGCGATTCTTCTGCCTCAGCCTCCTGAGCAGCTGGGACCACAGGTGCCCGCCACAACGCCTGGCCATGTTTTTTCTTTGTTGCAGTTTGGCCAGGGCCGGGCTCAAACCCACCACCATCGGTATATGGGCCTGGCACTTACCTACTAAGCCACAGGTGCTGCCCCATACTCTATTCTTTATTTATTTATTTTGCATGATGTTTGTATTATCCATCCCTCCACTGAGATTTGACTCCACATTGAAGGAATTTTTGTCAGCTGAGTAGATTGATATATTCTACATGCCTTGATCACATCATCTGCTTGTTGAATTAATGATCCTTCAGTTTTTACCGAGTTCTATTCCCAGTGCTTTACATGGACAACTTTACATGAATGAGGGAGGAACTATCATTATCCTATTTTACAGATAGAATATGCTACTTTTTCACACTTTTTGAGTTATTTTTAATGGACTTTTCTCTTATTAGTGATGTGTTCAGTCACTTGATCTATTCTGTCCTTTATTGAAAGGAAGATTCTCAGACTCCAAAGGTAAATGACACAATTCCAACAAGGTAATAGTGATAACAAGTTTTCAGAGCAATCTATGAAAATGAGGTGCTAGTGTAAGTGCTAGTGTTGGCCAAATCTGGAAAAGCTCTGGGAATAGCGGGGTTGGGAACAGTAGACCTTGAAAACAGCAGAGTTGAAACAGGATGAAGAGAGTGTACACCCTTAGTAAGACTTATGATGTTCTTCAACTCCGCTGCTCAGGATGCCGCAGTTAATCTCAGTTCTTTTTTTTTTTTTTTTTTGAGACAGTTTTACTCTGTTGCCCTCAGTAAAGTGCCCTGGCCTCAGCTCAAAGCAAGCTCAAACTGAGCCACCACGCCCAGCTTCTCAGTCTCAGTTCTTGAATTGGTTTTGGTTCAGGATAATTTTGTTGATTTAGGTGGAAATCAGAAATAAAGCCTGTGTGCCTGTCTGGGCTCTGTTTTAACCTTACCCACCTTTCAGCTTTCCTATATGAGCCCTTTAAATTTTAGAGTCTGAATTTTTTTCCAGAGGTTACCTGGGCATCACTCTAATTTTGGGTTGGGAGTCACACTTCTGTTTGGTTGATTGTAAATCATCCACGGTCCTTTTTTTTTGAGACAGAGTCTTACTATGTCACCCTTGGTTGAGTGTCATGGCGTCATAGCTCACAGCAATCTCAAACTCTTGGGCTAAAGCAATTCTCTTGCCTCAGCCTCCCAAGTAGCTGGGATTATACGTGCCCATCACACACGCGGCTATTTTTTGATTGCGGTTGTTATTATTGTTTGGTAGGCCCAGGCTGGGAGGCTGAGGCAAGAGAATCGCCTAAGCCCAAAGAGCTGGAGGTTGCTGTGAGCTGTGACGCCAAGGCACTCTACCAAGGGAGACTGAGTGAGACTCTGTCTCTTAAAAAAAAAAATGAATAAACTAAATATGATATAATGCATTTTTTTAAGACAGTTTCACTTTGTTGCCCTCAGTATATTTCCAGTGATGTCATCGCTCACAGCAACCTCAAATTCCTGGGCTCAAGTGATTCTCTTGCCTCAGCCTCCCAAGTAGCTGGGACAACAGGTGCCTACCACAACACCCAGCTATTTTTTGGTTGTAGTTGTCATTGTTATTTCACAGGCCCTGGGCTAGATTTGAATTTACCAGCTCCGGTGTAAGTGGCTGACACCCTAGCCGCTGAGCTACAGGGGCCAATCCATAATGTGGTTTTTTGTTGGGCTTAGGCTCCAGCTCTTGGGCTTAGGCAATTCTCTTGCCTCATGAGTAGCTGGAACGACAAGCGCCACCACCACACCTGGCTATTTTTTGGTTGCAGCTGTCATTGTTTTTTGGCGGGCTCAGGCGGGATTAGAATCCGACAGCTCAGGTGTATGTGGCTGGCGCCTTAGCCATTTGAGCTATAGGCGCCGAGCCCCAGCTACTTTTAGAGACGGGGGGGTCTCGCTCTTGTTCAGGCTGATCTCGAACCTGTGAGCTCAGAGCAATCCACCCACCTCAGCTTCCCAGAGTGCTAGGATTACAGGCGTGAGCCATTGCATCCGGAATTAATCTACAATTTTTATTCCAAGTTTATCTACTGTATAGTCTATATATATTCCAGTTTCTCTTTTTTTTTTTTTTTTGAGACAAAGTCTCACTTTGTCACCCTTGGTACAGTGCTGTGGCGTCACAGCTCACAGCAACCTCCAGCTCTTGGGCTTAGCTAATTCTCTTGTCTCAGCCTCCCAAGTAGCTAGGACTGCAGGTGCCCGTCATAACGCCCAGCTATTTTTTGTTGCAGTTTGGCCGGGGCCGGGTTCCAACCTGCCACCCTTGGTATATGGGGCTGGCCATAGGCACCGCCCCATAATGTGTTTTAGTTTAACTTCATACTTAAAAACCTAAAAGATATGTAAAAAGTTATTGTTGCTGGGAGCGGTGGCTCACGCCTATAATCCCAGCACCCAGCCCCTGGGAGGGTGAGGCAGGTGGATTGCCTGAGCTCACCAGTTTGAGACTAGCCTAAGCAAGAGCCAGACACGCCTCAGCTCCAGTCTCTTAAAAAAACAAAAAATAGGCTCGGTGCCTGTGGCTCAAGTGGCTAAGGTGCCAGCCACATACACCTCAGGTGGCAGGTTTGAATCCAGCCCGGCCCACCAAACAATGACAGCTGCAACCAAAAAATAGCCGGGCATTGTGGCAGGCACCTGTGGTCCCAGCTACTTGGGAGACTGAGACAGGAGACTCGCTTGAGGCCAGGAGTTGGAGGTTGCTGTGAGCTGTGATGCCATAGCACTCTACCCAGGAGGATAGCTTGAGGCTCCGTCTCAAAAAAAAAAAAAAAGAAAAAGAAAAATCGGGCGTTGTGATTGAGGCCTGTAGTTCCAGGTACTTGGGAGACTGAGGCAAGAGATTCTTTTGAGCCCTGGAGTTTGAAGTTGCTGTGAGCTAAGACACCAAGGCACTCTACCAAGGATGACCAAGTGAGACTGTCTCAAAAAACAAACAAAAAAACTACTGTTTTTCTTAGAAAGTTATCAAGGAAAATTAAATATTGCAAACCTGGTCAAGCATTCTATTTATGCACTGCTGATGTTTGGAAGACTAATGAAATTAAGACACATAATTCGTAAGTTAATTTTTTATTTCCTTGTTTGCCCTCATTTCAGAAAAATACTAATTACGTTGTTACAATTAATATTTTCGCATTATTTGACTTCTGTTGACAGTAATGATTTAAACCAGGAATCAGTAAACTACAGCGTCAGGCCAAACCTGGTCTGTCAATGTTTGGAAATAAACGTTCCCTGGAATATAGGCATTCCTGTTCATTTCTGTGTTACTTATGGTTGTTTGGGGGCTACAACAACAAAGTTGAGCAGTTATGCTAGAGACTCTCCGGCACACTACCATCATTTCAGCTAAGTCCAACCAGTGCAGGGGAGAGCAGTCCGTCACGCTGTGGGCGGGGCTTCGGGCGCCCCGCTGTTCCGCTCAGGGTTCCGCACTTTAAAAAGTCACATAATGCCGCTTGTAAGTAGGTGGAAGCACCAAGAGAACTTTTGGGAAGAGGAAAAACGCGGTCTCAGCTGTGTCAGCTAATGTGTGACCAGAAGAGCAAGAGCCCAAGCGAAGACCTTCCAGTCGCCATTGATTCCTTCCAGACGCCCGCGCCCTTACAGCGTCCATCCCGCCAATGAGAGTTGAGAAGCTCGAAGCCCCGCCCTGCGTGAGTTTCGTAGGGCGCTCGGGAACGCCTGCGTAAACGCGCGCGGGAGGTGGGACATGGCGCCCTTCGGAGAGGTAGGCTGTTTGCTGGTTTGGACCTCAGTTGGCGCGGGCTGGTAGGTGTTATCGTTTGCGAGGATGTTGCGCGTCGTGAGCTGGAACATCAATGGAATTCGGAGGCCCCTGCAAGGTGAGGTACACCGGGAACCCAGTAAGTGTGCCCCCGTGGCCATCGGGCGCATTTTGAGCGAGCTGAATGCTGATATTATCTGTCTCCAGGAAACCAAAGTGACCAGGGATGTACTGACAGAGCCTTTGGCTATCGTTGAGGGCTATAACTCCTATTTCAGCTTCAGCCGCAATCGTAGTGGCTATTCCGGTGTAGCCACCTTCTGTAAGAACTGCGCTACTCCGGTGGCGGCTGAAGAAGGCTTGAGTGGCCTGCTTGCCACTCAGAAAGGGGACGTGGGCTGTTATGGAAATATGGATGAATTCACCCAAGAGGAGCTCCGGGGTCTGGATAGTGAGGGCCGTGCCCTCCTCACACAGCACAAGATCCACACAGAGGAAGGGAAGGAGAGGACCTTGACGCTAATCAACGTGTATTGCCCTCGTGTGGACCCTGGGAAGCCTGAGCGGTTGGCCTTTAAGATGCGCTTCTATCGCTTGCTGCAGATCCGAGCAGAAGCCCTCCTGGCAGCTGGCAGCCATGTGATTATTCTGGGTGACCTGAACACAGCCCACCGCCCCATTGACCACTGGGACGCAGTCAACTTGGAAAGTTTTGAAGAGGACCCAGGACGGAAATGGATGGATGGCTTGCTCAGTAACCTGGGCTGCCAGTCTGGCTCCCATGTAGGACCCTTCATTGATAGCTACCGCTACTTCCAACCAAAGCAGAAAGGGGCCTTCACCTGCTGGTCAGTGGTCACTGGTGCCCGCCATCTCAACTATGGCTCCCGAATTGATTATGTGCTGGGTGACAGGACGCTGGTCATAGACACTTTCCAGGCCTCCTTTCTGCTGCCTGACGTCATGGGCTCTGATCACTGCCCCGTGGGTGCAGTCTTAAATGTGTCCCCTGTGCCTGCAAAACAGTGCCCACCTCTGTGCACTCGCTTCCTCCCTGAGTTTGCAGGCACCCAGCTCAAGATCCTTCGCTTCCTAGTTCCTCTTGAACAAGATCCTGTTTTGGAGCAGTCAGCACTGCAGCTCAGTGATCAAACCTTGGTGCAGAAGTGCCAAAACAAAGGCTACCTACGCTCAACCAGGTCTCGGCCCAGTCAGACTGGCTCCAACAGAGGCCAGAAAAGTCTGAAGAGCTACTTCCAACCTTCCTCCTGCCGTCCCAAAGCCTCTCCTGACTTAGAGTTGCCTAGCCTGCCACTCATGGGTGCTCTTATTACCCCAAAGAATTCGGAAGAGGAGGCAACAACCAAAGTGGTAGAGGAACAGGCCAAGGCTTCAGAGGCCAAAGATGAGAAGGAGGTACGAACTTCATTCTGGAAATCTGTGCTGGGGGGCCCCATGCCCACACCCCTCTGTGGTGGCCACAGGGAGCCATGTGTGATGCGTACTGTGAAGAAGCCAGGACCCAACCTGGGCCGCTGCTTCTACATTTGTGCCAGACCTCAGGGTCCACCCACTGACCTCTCCTCTCGCTGCAACTTCTTCCTCTGGAAAGGATCCAGCTGAACCAATGAGGCCCTGAGATGTCCAGCATGGTCACCTCTGCACATGATCTGAGGCCAGCTCTCCTCCTGAGCTGCCAGTGCTGCCAGTGCTGTATCCAGGGCTCTTTGTCCTCTCCCCCTTTTTCCTTTTTCTTCCTTTTTCTCTTCCTCCTCTGTCCTCTCTCTTCCTGCCTAGGTCCTTCTTGTTGGTGAAGCTTAATTATGCCTTAATCCTGTGACATACTTTCCTGTCACAAGTACATGGGAATCAGCTGCCTCAGGAAGTTGTGATTTTTTTTTTTTTTTTTTTTGGGCCAGGGTTGGGTTTGAACCCACCACCTCTGGCATATGGGGCTGGCGCCCTACCCTTTTGAGCCACAGGCGCCGCCCAGGAAGTTGTGATTTTTAAACTCTTTGTGTCCTTGATGAGAAATATATTTATGCATAAAGTCTGCGTCTTTGTTTCAGGGTACCATGTGGAATGGACATTTGCTCCATCAGGTTGCGTTAGAAAAGCTATCTCAATAGTTGGTTTGCCATGGCTCGGCCCCTGTGGCTCAAGTGGCTAAGGCACCAGCCACATACACCTGAGCTGGTGGGTTCGAATCCATCCCGGGCCGCCCAAACAACAATGATGGCTGCAGCCAAAAAATAAAATAGCTGGGCCCTGTGGCGGACGCCTGTAGTCCTAGCTATGTGGGAGGCTGAGGCAGGAGACTTGCTTAAGCCCAGGAGTTGGAGGTTGCTGTGAGCTGTGATGCCACAGCACTCTACCCAGGGTGATGGCTTGAGACTCTGTCTCAAAAAAAAAAAAAAAGTTGGTTTGCCAGCTGCCTACAGCCTGATCATATAACTCCTAGGGAGAGGGGAAGAAGGAGGAGTGGTACTTACCATAAAGAGCTCTGCTTGGCTGTAGGGGTTCTCTGCACAGCTGAGATTAGATCAGCAAGGGAGATGGATTGTTTAGTCTTTTTTTTTTGAGACAGAGCCTCAAGCTATCCCCCTGGGTAGAGTGCCATGGCATCACAGTTCACAGCAACTTCCAACTCCTGGGCTCAAGCGAGTCTCCAGCCTCAGCCTCCCAAGTAGCTGGGACCACAGGTGCCCGCCACAATGCCTGACTATTTTTTAGTTGCAGTCATCATTGTTGCTTTGGCGGGCCCGGGCTGGATTCAAACCCACCACCTGAGGTGTATGTGGCTGGTGCCTTAGCCACTTGAGCCACAGGCGCCGAGCCAGATTGTTTAGTCTTAAACTACAGCTTCCCAATGAATATGTTCCACAATTGTCACAAATGGGTTACAGGGTGGAAAGAAATAGAGCCCTCATCTCTCAGAGTTGCCAGGCAAGACATGGTGATCACAGAAGTCTCAGGGAATATGGCTTCCTAGGCAAACAGTGTCATTAGTCCAACTATGCTATGCACATATTTCCTGAGTACTATGACTTAGAAAGGTTGGTTCTGGTTATGGCACTTGCTATAGCCAAGCCTCTTCTATCACTTTGGAAAACAGGGCTGGTGAGTCTTGTTCTATACAGATGTCCTCAAACTACAGTCCGCGGGCCACATGCAGCCCGCCTAGGACATTTATCCGGCCCGCCAGGTGTTTTTGCTGCTGCTGCCTGTCCTGCTTAGCAGCCAACTCGTCCTGGGACCCATAGTCTGACCCTCCAACAGTCTGAGGGACAGTGAACTGGCCCCCTAAAACAGCCAGGTGTTGTGATGGGTGCCTGTAGTACTAGTTGCTTAAGCCCAAAGAGTTTGAGGTGGTTGTGAGCTGTGATGCCACAGCACTTTACCCAGGGTGACAAAGTGACTCTTTCTCCAAAAAAAAAAATCGATGCTGTGTGCAGGAAAGAGGATAATAGATTGATGAAGACATCTATTCCCCCTTCTGGAAAATACCTCCTCAGTTTTGGGGAACCACTTCTCTCCAGGCAGTTTGGTTAGGGCTGACTCTCTCCTGGCTTCAAGTGCTAGCCAGGGTCCACATGTCCAGTCTACCAGTGAAGAGTCAGTCTCTGGGTTTTTGTTGACTCATTGGGAAAAGCCAATTCTAAGAAGTCGACTGAGTGTCCCAGCTTTTTGTGCAACTCATGCATAGTGTTTGGGCATTTCCTTCTTTCTAGGTCTCAGTTTCCCTGTCAATAAAATGGAATGGTCAGGCCAGCAAGTGATCTGGTTTTCTCATGCATCTGCCACTTGTAGGAGGGAGTTGGGTATAGTGCAGTTGTCTGTTCTCTGTCCAATAAAGGGCTAAAAGTGCTGCCGTTTGCTGTTTTATTTTTAGACTTCAGTCAGCTAGAGGCACACAAAGCAGAGGACAGGAGGAGGTCCAGCCCCAAGTGAGTACAGGTCGGGTGGGGATCCAAGGCAACTGGCTTCTTGGGCGTAAGTGGTGACACATTGGGGCCCCATGTTCCCAAAGTAGGTGTGCTCCTGCTCACTCATGAGCTTAAAGTACACAGGACAATGACAGAAATTGCAGGCTGCCACAGACATATCCTAAAAGAGCAGGACTTGGGAGGCCACTTCATTCCAGGCTACCAGCAACTTCCCTGAAGGTGTTAGGGGAAGGAGAGGAAAAGAATTAGACTTGATCTTCCAAATGCCTATGTCACGGTACAGATGGGCCATGATATTGTTACCCTCAACCCTTCCAGGTGCTTCAGGCCAGAAGTAGCCTCCTCTCTGCTCCAGTGTGTGTCATAAAAGTTGCCATCTTTCTGTGGGTGCCAGGATGTATGATAGATTGGGAAGCAGTCTTTTGACATAATTTGAAGCTGCCCTGCCCTGGACCACTCCCTAAGTATAGGATGTGCTGTGACTGGAGAAATGAATCTATCTGGAAACTCCTAGCATGGTAAGGAAAGATGATACTGACAGTTACCACTCTATTCCATTGGTGCTGTGACCAGGAGTTCTAGGACAGATGAGAACCAAAGGAGGGACCCTGACTTAACTCTAGGAAGTGCCTCAGCAAACTGCAGCACTCACTCTACCCAAGGTGAGTCAGTAGGCTCTGTCTCAAAAAAATAAAATAAAAGAAGTTAGGCTGAGACAAGAGAATCGCCTAAGCCCAGGGACTGGAGGTTGCTGTGATACCATGGCACTCTACTGAGGGCGACAAAGTGAAACTGTCAAAAAATAAATCTTTAAATGAGATGCTTCCTAATTAATAAATCTCCATTTGAAGTCAATTCAATGTTTAAACTTGTTAAAAATTTTGTTTTTTAACATATTCGCACCGTGGAAGGGCCACTAAAGCTCAAGACTCTCATTCTCTTTTTTGGCTGGAGTCGGGTTTGAACCCAACCACCTCTCGTATATGGAGCCAGCACCCTACTCCTTTGAGCCACAGGTGCCACACAAGCTCAAGGCTCTCTTACCAGCTCTTAGAGTAAATACTACCTTGCCAGGTATCTAGCCCCAAGCATAGGCTACATCTTTCCACTGGTCCATATAGTACAAATATAAGCACAATAGAAAACATGGCCATTTGAAAAACAAAAGCCCAGTAGCCCCCAATAATCCCCGTATGTACTATCAACTTAAAACCATCTATGTATTGATCCATAAGCCTCCAGATTTCCTTCCTCTGGTGGTGCCAGGCAGTAGTGGATGGCAAGAATCTCCTACTAATTTGCTTCAAACTATGCTTAATTATGTGATGCATTATCACCAAAGTCTCGTAGCATTCAGAACACACCAAAGGAAGGTCACATTTGGAGCACCCAGCTACTCACCAAAAGATTTGTATTATGGTAGAAGCCATCTCATTTATATTAAGTGATCTAAAACTGTTCCCCAGGTGTCTGTTAATGAACTTTTTAGTAATTAGAAATACTTAAAAATAGGGTAATTACACTATATTCAAAGAAAGCCTAAAGTTAAGGTTAGGGAGTACAGAATTTATTTGAATTTGAAATAATGAATCCTTAGTTGGGTGGATGTTGTGGCAGGTGCCTGTAGTCCTAGCTACTTGGGAGATTGAGGCAGGAAGGAGGACTACTTCAGCCCCTGAGTTTGAGGTTCTTGTGAACTAGGCTAATGCCTCAGCACTTCTAACAGGGGCAACAGAGTGAGACTCTATCTCCAAAAAAAAGGAGAAAGAATCTTAGTCTAGCAGGAATCATTGAGTAAATCCTAAAATGTAACTGTGTCTTAACCTTTTAGTGCTGCTATACCAGAATACCACAGACTGGTATAAACAGAAATTTATTGGCACGCAATAAATTGTGTCTCTGGAGGCTGAGACATACAATATCAAGACACAGGTAGGTTCGGTGGTTCTGATTCCAACACGGTGAATTGAAGGCTGTGTCTTCTAGGACTCACGAACACATCTTCCTATTGTTGGACTAAGGTGTTGGTCCACCCGTAACCCAAATCAATTAAAGGAGATGTAGAAGAGAGAGCAACAGTTTCACTTTATTTACAGAAATGCCAGCAATTCTGCAGAGCAGTGAGGATATTTCCTTAAAGAACTGTTCTGCTGGCAGTGCCGAAAGCTCTGGGTAGGGTGCCAGCCATATACACCGAGGCTGGTGGGTTCGAACCTGGCCAGAGCCAACTAAAGCAATGATGACAACTGCAACAACAACAAGAATAGCTGGGCATTGTGGCAGGCACCTGTAGTCCCAGCTACTTGGGAGGCTGAGGCAAGAGAATTGCTTAAGCCCAAGAGTTTGAGTTTGCTATGAGCTGTGCCATAGCACTATACGGAGGGTGACATAGTGAGACTCTGTCTCAAAAAAAAAGAAAGAAAGAAAGAACTGTTCTGGCTCGGCGCCTATAGCTCAACCGGCTAAGGCGCCAGCCACGTACACCTAAGGTGGCGGGTTCGAATCCCCAGCCCGGACCCGCCAAACAACAATGACGGCTGCAACCAAAAAATAGCCGGGTGCTGTGGCGGGTGCCTGTGGTCCCAGCTACTTGGGAGGCGGAGGCAGGAGACTCGCTTGAGCCCAGGAGTTGGAGGTTGCTGTGAGCTATAATGCCACGGCACTCTACCCAGGGGGACAGCTTGAGGCTCTGTCTCAAAAAAAAAAAAAAAAGAAAGAACGGTTCTGCTCTCCTATTTCCCTTGTTACTTTTTTTTTTGAGACAGAGTCTCACTATGTTGCCCTTGGTATAGTGCCGTGGTGTCACAGCTCACAACAACCTCAAACTCTTGGGCTTACGCGATTCTCTTGCCTCAGCCTCCTGAGTGACTGGGACTACAGATGCCTGCCACAATGCCTGGCTATTTTTGGTTGAGTTGTC